CTATAGGTGCTTGGATTTAATTGTGATGAACGTTTTCACTGAAAGCTTTTTGCTGCGACAATAGTATGGTGTTAGAAATCACTTAGTTCTCTGTGGGTCACTAGTGTGGTCTGGGCTAAGACAACCCTCTTTTCCCAGAGGGTATTGGCAGATCAGCTAGGATTTGGAGAGCTGCTAATACTCAGTGACAAAAGTACAACTGCCAGCTCCTAGGCTGTAAAGCAGTGTTAGAGACTGACGGACAGTGTTAAAGAGAGGAAAGCTCCACTAGGAGAAGACTGAAACTTGGCTTTTCTGTTCCCAGTAACATGTGGAATCTTTCTTTCTCTACGATGTATAAAATACCAATTCCCCCTTTCCCCTCAGTTAGAGTATCTCATTTCTACATGGCAATGCAGAACAACAGCTTTCTATTCACTATCATGCAAAACCCAAGAAAAATAACAACTTTCTTTTTCCTTTTCTCTAGGCAGTTGGGTTTGCCAGCCTCCTTGACTTGTAGACCCTTGGCCTGGATTCTATTTCCTAACGGAGCAGTAGTGAGTGGAGAGCTATTTTGAATGACTTAAGACAAATAGTGATGTTTATATGCCTAGGCTGGTGTTAATCGCTTTTCTTCCTTTCTTTTCCTTGCAATATGACATTACTGGCTGCTAGTTAGACCGTATTGGTCTCAGTGTAATTCTCAGACATCCTCCTGCAGTTTAGCAGGTTGCTTCATGTTGTGTATTTGTGAACTTGAGCCTGCATTTCTCAATGCAGGAATTATATTTGGTTCACTGAATTGTACCTTATTCTTTCCAGGTTATTTCTATGTCTTTCCAGCTCCCAGTCCTGCCCTTCTGCATACTCCTGCCTCTCCTAGTTTAGTGTAATTTGCTGATTTTAATAGGTCCCCATTCTCTTTCAAAGCTCTGAAAACCAGCAACACAGTTTTTTCATTAGGGCATAGGTGATCCCACCTGATGCATTGTTTAAAAGTGGCATAGAGCATCCAGTGTGATGATTATTATTTTAATTTATAGAAGTCTGTGGGTATAATTTAATGTAGAGAATGTTTATCCACTTTAAGAAGGGCAATGGTTTGTCAGACTGTACTGTGACCAGTTAGATCATTTTGATGTGGTTTCCATTCAGGAAATACACTGTTACTCACGTTGCTGTGCTAAAAAATTATGTGTTTGAATATTTCTGGAAATATTGGCCTGTTATTTCCTGTTTTTTCCTCTTTTTCCTAGGTGGTATGTTGCCATTTGCCAGTCTTCTGACCATAGTAATTTTCAGAGGTACTAATGAATGGGTTTGTGAGGGTTTCTGATGCTTTTTGAAATGTCTGAGAGTACTTCAAGGGTAATAATTTTCACTGCATCCGAATTGCAGAGTCTTCTCTTTCTGCTCTTGCTGAGCTAGGCTGATGCTGCCTTACTGGTCTCCCTGAGCAGTAGAGACCTGACTGCTCTGATTGCTGCTTATTGCTGTGGTTTCTGACAAATGTAAAATCCGAATGTAAGTGGCTGAAGCACAATGTTGTGCAGTCAACAGCTGCTCAACTAAAGGAATCTAAAGGCTACGGGTAGTACCAAAGTGATACTGACGCAATAGAAAGCACAGAAACTGTATCAAATACACGTACATTCTTTACTAAAAGCTTTGTGTAAAGATCAATACACTAAAAATCGAAGCAAAAGAGTTTACAGAAATACAGTATTGTTACCACGTAGCAAGAAACAGCATATCCAAACAGTTTTCTTTCTGATATTAGTGATGTAATACATAAAAGGCCCACATTAAGCCTGTTTTAGCACTTGCATTAAGATTATGCAACAGTTTACAATAGAATCACAAACTGGTTTGGGCTGGAAGGGACCTTAAAGCTCATCTAGTTCCAGTCCCCTGCCACTGGCAGGGACTCCTTCCGCTAGACCAGTTTGCTCAAAGCCATATACAATGTGATAGAAAGATACGAGTTTCTTAAAAGGAGCATCAGAAGATGCTCTTGTCAACTCTGCTGAGATTTACCCAGGATCTTAATTATTTTCCAAGAAATGAGAACATACTCTTTTTGCATCAGTACACGAAATCTTAACACTTTTCCAGTAGTAGCATTGGATGCTGTTATAGCAGCTTTAGAGGTGTGAACTTCTCTTTTGAGTATTTTCTGTTTGCAGAGGTATATGGGTTGAATTGAGAAGCCTTTTTTCTTACAACTTTGTTGGATATCACCTAGTTAAAAAGATTAACAAGAGCAGAAAATTCTAAGATACTCTTGCAAGTGATCCTGTAAGATACCGCTCAAGGTAGTACATTCTACTTTAAAATCACAGTTTGTTTTTTCAAGATTTTTTTTTTATAATGAATGACATGACACACGCATTTAGTGCTAACTTGGAAAAATGCTACAGTATGGAAGTGTGTTTTGGTTGGTTTCCGTATTTTGATGTACTGGTCCCTCATTGTTAAACGTAACTAGAAGGCTTGACTTTACGATGTGGTATACCACAAGAGGGAGTAGACGGCTATTTGTAAGTTATGCTGCTACATACAATGCAGATCACAATGCTAAGGATGCTTAACTTACAAAGTGAAGAAAGACTTACTATTTTTCTATAATATTAATAATGCATTTCTATCATGAGGTAAAATACAAATCCCCGATTTCATCAGAGGACTACTTAAAAGCAGCTTAATTTGTAAACAACAGATAGAAAGTTAGCAGAATAGCGTAAGATCCCCATCAAGTTAAAAGGCAAACAGGTTGAAAGGACTTCCCAACATGCACAGACACTGTAAGTATATATAACAGAAGAGAGGCTTGCCTGACAGAGGTGAAATGCCCTCTGTGTTAGTCTTCAGAAGAACCTTCAGGTTTGCTATGTTACTCAATTTTTCCTTCTGATATTTATTAGATTTCCCCCTCCACCTCCCCAGTAGCAGCCTGAAGTAAGCAGGTCTGGTCTCAGTACTGTAGCCTGTTCTAGGCAGGTCTCCAAGAACTGCAGGAAGACACAGCTATGAAAGCATGTCCTATCCTGCATAAATAAACCCTTGTACTTGCCTTCATTTTTTATATTCCTGCCAATAAACTGACTTGTACATTTTTATGCTGGTTTTCATTTCTCACCCCTAATAGATGGTGAGATGGTGTAGAGTTTTGATAATAGATGGTGTAGAGTTTTGATTCTCATTGCAGGATACTTTGCATACCACAAAACTGTGTACGCTAGTACCTTACACAGAGGAATAGTTCTGTCTATTAAAGATACAAATGTGGAATACAGTCTACATTCTGGCAATCCCTGCCAGCAGTTTTGCAATGCTAAAGTGTCTTTTTTTTTTTTTTTTTTTTTGTTGTTTTGTGTATAGTATCCTGAGAATATTGAAAATCTTGCTGAACTGCAAAAGAATATTCTTATTTTAGCAAAATACATATTCACTCTCATCTATTTAGCAAAAAATGCATCCTTACTTTATCTCATAATGTGCATATCACTCAGTAATGGTATAATCTATACAGCAGTAAGAACCATATAATTATTTCTCATCTAAGTATTAATTACAATTGTGTCAATCTTTGGAGTGTTGAATGATGATTACAGTTGAAAATTATTTGGTATTTACAGAAAATCTAAGTGCAACTTTAATAATTTGGATGATGCTTCCTTTTAAACACAATTACATATTTATGGTACTCATTTTTACATATTCTTTAATGGGGGTAGTAAACTGAAGTCCACTTTATCAGTGTAAAATTATTATTTTTTTTAATCAGTAAAAATACCCCCAAGCAATTAGTGGAGATGATCCTCTGACAGCTCTACTAACTAGTACTGGATGAAGATGTATTTTAGTCCTTAAGTGGAGGGTACGGTTCTTGTGTACCATGCAAGATTAAACTCTCACATCTGCAGTTTACCTCTGCTGTTCAAGCTAGTGTGGATCTCCAACTTGTATGCAGTTATCAGATGAATGCACAAGAAGTCCAGGTTTAAGAACAAAGGCCACAAAGATTTGTGTACAGAAAAATTTCAATGGAAAGGATCATGCCTAATAAAAGAGGTTTCTGCACAAAGTGAGGTTCTCTGTTACTGTGCATGTCAAGTCCAGCATCTGTTATTTACATCACACTAATGCAATTACTAGATGTCAAGATTCTTTGTAATGCTCCAGGCTCCTTACCAAAGAAAGAGACCAGTTAGTGCCTGAAAACGCAGTCATGCGTGGGAATTGACATGAAGTATCTTCTGGGATTCCAGACACTGCCCTTCCCTTGGCACTAGCAAGTCCCTGTGAAGGGCATGCAGCTCCCAGGCCTGCACACAGCTGTAGTACAGCTTCTGTAGGTAAAGCTGACCAGGGTTTTGCGGATCCGCTGCCACCTTGTCATCACTTGCCACTGGTTTCTTCTGAGGAAGCCTTACAGCAGGCTTTGCAATGGTCTGTAAAGCATGGTAGTGGCCAGGCTTTCCAAAGGAAAAATGTAATTGTCAATATAACATCCTTCTTTTCCATTTGCTCCTATACAGTACTGTTAGTCATGCTTGGCAGGCAGTGCCTCTGTCTACTCAAAATACATATTTAGACAAAGAATTATTTTAAAAAGCCTTGTTGCCAGGACACTGAATGAAATGTACTACAAAGACAACAAAATACTCTTCCTTCTGCTTGAAAACATGCAAAGTATCATAAAATCAACAAGTAGTCTTGACTGAATAACGTGTATCTACATTAACAGTGACTGATTTCATTGTGTTTTGAAATGCTTCAAAAAGGTCAAATATGCTGATTATCACTGTTTCTCTTTGATGCTGTGTGATGTTGTAGAACTTTGAAGCCAAAAAGGGGAATTTAGTTAAAACTTTCAAAATTTTCTGTAAAAAATAAAATCTCATTGCAACCCTGTTTAAAGATATAAAATAGGTAAAACCTTCAGAGGTTTTATTCTTCCATTTAAATGGTTTTTGTTGGTTCTTCAGAAGAGTTGAAGGAAAGAGACACTTTAATTATATGACCTGATTCAGAATAGCTTGATAGGTAGGAGAAGAATTTTTCAGCACTTCAACTGGAACAAGTGATACAGGGGTATTCTGTTGACGCGCCACTGTCTCGTACCGGGAGGTAGCCCCCAGAGTGAGAGGTGACAAAGAGATGGATGAAGTGGGCTGCTGCAAGTTCTGCAGCCTGACTGCACAATTTGCAGTGCATGTAGACCCACATGCTGCTTCCAGGCCAATGTTTATAGATGTTTCATTTCTTCGACAAGGGTCCGTAACAGAATATGGGGGAGGATTATCTGTGGGAATATATGTTTGTCTTGCTCCTGGCCCTACGCATTCATCATAGCTGAAAGAAAAAAAGGATTTTTCATTAGATTCCTGTGAAAAATGCCACAGTACATTATTTTCAGCATAACAGGGGCAGGCCAAGTGAGAAGAAAAGGATTGTCTGGTGTTTTGTTCTTCAGCCCACATTCTTGCTTACCCTGCTATGTGAGACACTCAAGAACATAATACTTAAAAGCACATCTCCAAATACCTAAAGATCATCCCAGAGGTCTTGATGAAAGTTCAGACCCCATTCTCCTGCATGAAACTAACATCTGTGGCAGCACCATTCAGCTGAGGTGCCTGGGGATAAGCCCAGCTCCTTACTGGAGCAGGAGCAAGAGGACTGATGCTGCAGTCTTCCACAAACCTGTGCATACTGAAGCCCCAGCACACTGGGGGTTCGTTACTGTTCTCACAAAAGTAGTTGAGTTAGAAAATGGCTGGGGAAGAAGGAAGTGGTGGTGCTGTTTTAGTCATAAAAAAAAGCAATGGAGGGCTTTAGATGAAGTGAAGTTGTCACATTAAATGCAGTCCTCCTGACTCAAAGGTCTCTGGTGTTCAGCCAGCTACATGTGGTGGGTTGTTTGGGTTGCAGATCTATGCTGGCAGGGGCAGCAGGATTTCTTGTTGAGGTGCAGAGCTGTGATGAATAATCTTGACAGACTCCTGCTGGTCATTCAGAGACTTGGGAGACTACCCGTCACGTTCCTCCCATGAAGGAGGTATGCAAGACAGACCAATTTATGCAGTTTCTGTCAGGAGACAGCTCAGGCCTCATAGATCTGTCAGTGCCACCAAGCTAGAGCCAAACTGTTACCTCCTCAGTCTGCTGCCATGTTCAGTGCTTGCTGTCCTGCTGTGAATGCAGACAGGCACCTTAGATTGGAGCTTGGACTGCAAAGCTTAGTAAATAATAAGCCTACATAGACCAGTGTGTCTTTATGTTTTCCTATGATCTGTGTTGCAGGCAGAGGATGGGAGTGGACGGAGTGTACATAAGCAGGTTCTCTGTGCATTTGTACCGTGCTGCACTGGCCCTGCCCAGCCCTATGAGCTAAAGGGCTCTGTCTGCTGGGATGGCACTGCGGCCCTAGGGAAGGCTGAAAAGCCTGAAAGCTGGTGAATCCGGTCTGTTACCTGGGCGGTCCACTGTCTGGCTATCCTGGCATCAGCTGTTTGTTCACAAATAAAAACTGACTCCAGTTTTGCTATACCAGCCAGTCCAGGCCTGTTGGTATGAAGTAAGGTCCTGTTTTCCTGGCTCACTGGCTACAGGCAAAGTGAGGACGAGTCATAACATCATGATCTTAAATGCTGGACCTGCTTTGTGGCTGCCTTGTTTAATTGTGGCAAATCTCTCAATTCTGAAGAAAGGAATGTTTCCTGTAAATAACCATTGCCCACTCAACCTGAAAAACAGTTCTGCTGGAGCCAGACAAATTAAGAACCCATTTCCTCAACCATGCTAACTGCAGAGCTATTAAGATCTAGGATATTTCCTGAAACTTTGGATATTTAGCATATGCCTTCCCAACAAACTGCAGGCAGTTATCCTGCCCCCTATAATTGCATTTCTGACAGACTAAACGGAAGCTAATAAACCCTACTTGTAGATTGTAAGTGGCTTGTGGCAGGGCAGCTTGCATTGGTTAGTGTGAGCTCTAATCTTCTGCAAGTAGAAAAATGCTTGTTTCTGCTGTGCTCATTCACACCTTTCTCTGAGCACTCCTGAGGATTTTGATGGTGTTGTTCCTAGTCAAAGTGGTGGAAGTGGATTTTGGAGAAGAGAAAGGTAAGAAAATGAAATCTTAGTACTAGGTTACTAAATAACTCAAATATCCACAGGTGTGTTTATTTTTACATCCCTTTTATCTTTATATTCATGAGGACAATGGTTTTGAATTCAGACTAAAAATTTCAATTTCCCCATCAGAAAGAATGCTATTCAAAACCAACTCTCTTCTGAAGATCCTGAATAGGGTTGCTAGATACTTCAGAAACAAGTCCCAGTACGTAGGAGGTTGAATTGCTTTTATCTAGCATAGATAAACAGATAAGGGGAAAGATTTGATAATTGCATAGATAATGGAAAGGATTTCAGTCCAGCCTCTACTAAACCCATTGACACTTTCAAGCATACCTGATATTCTTTTAAAAGATCTTAGACCTTAGTCAGAGATCAAGGACCTGATGTCCTTAACTCTTAATGAACTCAGTGAAGGAAGAGCCACTCTTCACTGGATTACGTACTTAATCAGGCTAACAAAGAGCACTTACTGGGTCCCGTTACCACAGTAGAAAGAGTTACGGTTTTTGAAAGGCCACGGTAAAGTTTCAAGGTGAAATATGTTAAATCCTTTTGCTAAGATGCAAAGGGGAAGAAACATTTCTGTCTCCCAATTCTGGGCCTGGGCCCAGCACATGAGAAGTCTGCTACTGACCTGAAAGAGGAATGGGCATAGCATGAACCTTCTACTTACTGTTACCTGATCACCTGCATTTCTTTCCCTTGCATTTACTTTAGTATCTTTCATAGACTGCAGCTCAGCTCTGTAGAACTAAAATGTTCAGTGGGATAAACAGTGAAATGATCTTTTGTGAAGGAGGCTTTTAAGCATCAAGGCAAATGGGTAGCAAATTACAGTTTTCAAGACCTGGCATTTTAGCATTTAGTTCCAAATATCAATTATATTAATATTAGGGCACTTTTTCTTCATACATACAATGGATAAAAAATAATTATCTCTTTTCAACAAACTTAAATGCAAGTAATATTTCCCCCCTCTTTTTTGGCAATTAAGATTACATTTTAAAAATTGAATAGGGCAGTAAAGAACACACACCAGATCTTCAATTCGGTAACTTTTTGGCACCTTCACAGCTGTACCTACAGATCATTGTGACCAAGGAGACAACTACAAATCATTCAAGTAGTTGTTTGGTTTTTAAATAACTTCTTATATTTAGCAATTTATGATCTTGATACGCAGTTTCCCATAATCTCTTCTAAGCAGGGTATCTTTGCTTGTAATGCTGACATTGCAAACTGCTATTGCTATGATACTAGTAGTGGAGGCTGCAGATAAGGTTCCTAGCATTTTCCGTTCAGGATAGAAGGGAGATGAATTAAGGTCATGCAAGCAACTTTAACTTTGTGGGTTTTTCCCTAGCTTCCAAGTGTTTTGTGTGTGTGTTTTTTTTTCCTTTCTTCTCTGTTTAACAGCCTCAGTAATTTGGTTGTGCTTTGAGTGCTATTCTAGGGGTATTCCTGTAGTATAACTAACTACAAGCATTAATTTTATTTTGCAGTCTCTCCTTCAAAGAAACCATAATATGTAAACTTATTCAGCTTTACCAGGATTCTAAGCAAGTATTATAAGACGTAATACACGGTTCTGCAGGCACTCACTGTCCAAGTCTGTTGATGGCTGGAAAATCATTCCTCAAAAGAGGAATTTAAAGGATTACTTACTAAAAATTATAATAGGAATAATTTCTTTCAGTTGATTACCATGTAATCAAGTGACTGATACTGGACTAAATCTTTACTGTTATCTTAAAATAAAGCTTCATGTTTGACAAGAAGAGGCAAATGGACTCTTGCATTTTATCACAGTGAAGTATGTATCACAAACAAAGTGGTACCGCAAAGTTGTCCTACAGTGTAGGGTCTGCACCTTTTGGCATACTTTTTAGGTTTCTTTCCTTTGCTGCTGTCTATGGTGGGGGTTTTTTTTTGTTTGTTTGGTTGTTGGGGTTTTTTTCAGTATTTTTTTTTGGCCTGGTTTCTTGTCAGAATAACTTTATTGTCACAGTAGACTATGCTATTCAGTTTTTAAGGGATAATTATATGAGGAAAGGCAAGGAGGGCTGATGTCTCTTATCTTACTATCATCTTACCACATGTAAACGTAATCTGCAACGAGAAGAATGTTGCTTAAAGAAAAATACAGCAGCTCCTCAGGCTGACCTTGTTGACTCAGAGGGTTGAGGAAGGGGAAATAACTTCATGAATTTGTCAGGTCTCATTGCAATAAATATTAGAGTAAGCTTGTTGCTAAGGAAACACAAAAGCTTATTCAACTAGCTGTCATTCAGAAATTATGACCTACTCTGGGGAAAGAAGGGTCTGCTTACAGAACTTCTTAAGATACAAACAATAGCTAGGGAAAAAAAGGCAAATCTGGGGAATGAATACTTCTTTGTGAAATAGATGTCATTTTGTTTATTCTGTTCATTTGTTACATGTTATGAGTCTACTGAAATTTCTCCTCTTGCATTGTTTCCATTTTGCGGATGCCAGACTGTCTTCTTCTAATAATGGTAAACAGAATCACTGAATCTGGAAAATACATGTGCTGACAGATTTAAGCTCTGATGAAAACAACACAGAAGATATTTGTATGATGTTGTTACCTAAAAAAGGAAAGCTGAAACTGGAAGAATATACTGTAACACTCTAGAAAAAGAATCAAAGGAAAAAAAAATTGATGTGTTTGATGCCTATGTAAGTAGTTCAGCTCATGAACTACTGATGATTTTCCATCTCTGATCATGCAATCTACTGATGATGCTACCTCTGATCACGCAATCTACTGATGATGCTATCTCTGATCACGCAATCTACTAACAGCTGGGTTTGTAGGACAGCAGCTTGGGAATCTGTCAGTGTTTCCTTTGAAGTGTTTTTTCTTAGAATGCATCTATGGTGATGTTATACATCTTTGGTGATGTATAACTACCACGAGGAAATGTATAATTTTTGACAGAACTGCTTTTACAGTTACATAAGTCATGAGATGAGATATTTTTCTACATTTATTTTTGATACTGACAGTTTTCATTTGAGATACTAGGTACATTTCAATTCTGTTACTTCTTGGCACCTTCACAGCACCTACAGATCATTGTGGCCAAGGAGACAACTACAAATCATTCAAGTAGTTGTTGAACTACTGACTATATTTTTGAGTTTTCTTTTGGATGCTTTGTCAGTGATTATAAAGTGATTAAAGC